GTGTTGGAAGTGAAGTTGCTGAAAGTTGCTCTCAGGGTCTCCAGGTCCCTCCTCATGTTGGCATCTGACCAGGCAGGTGGGACAATGAGAGCTACGATTGCTCAGTCCTCTCTGTGCTGACACTCAGCAGGGCACTTGACATACATTGGCTCATTGGGTCCTTACAGCCACCCCACTTCAAGGGACAGGCACTGTTGTTATCCTAGCTTGCAGAGAGGAAACTCAGGCTTCCAGAGGTTAGGCACTTGGACTACATTACCCATGAGTAAGCAACAGAGCCAGCAGCCGCCTTTACCCACCATGATCATCATCAGTGCCTGGGTTACTGTACCCCACTATCGCCCCCTCCCCTGCCCATCCTGGGACACTCACTTTTGGATCCAATCACGCAGATACCAATCATCAGGAGAAGGATGAGGCCCAGAGAGAGCAGAAGGGGCCAGGGGCCAGAGCAGAGATGCTGCAGGAAGGCTGGGGGAGGAGGCAGCCCTGCAAGGGGAAACAGCATCAGGACGTGGAGGTTGAGGACAGGAGAGACACAGGGGAGGAGGAGCAGAGGGCCACAGGGACCTGTCAGGGATGAAGAGTGATGCTGGGGAGAGGTTGTGGTGCAGGAGATGCCCAGGCATCTGACCCCTCATGGACCAGTACAAGCCCTCAGTCACCTGGGCCCCTCATCCCTATGTCAACACGATGGCAATATGTAAGGTCTTATCATCAGGGCTGGGAAGGGGAGGGTGGGGCAGGAGGACACAGAGTGAGCCGGGGCAGCCAGGCCCTCAGCAGGCTCGTGCTTATCTGTATTGTCCAGTCAACAAATGTTTCCTTTCCAACCATGACTATTCATTGCCCCAGCGCAAATGCTCAGACCCTTCCCCAGTGTGTAGGCATCCAGGACTGCTTTGGTCCACCCTGATCCTATCCTTCTCGAATCCTCTTCATATTGCAACCACCAGGAGCTAGAGCCTAACACCCACAGTGTGGGGGACCCCAGCAGTGCACATGGTAGAGGTGCAGATACACTGACAGTAGAAATCCTTCTAAACATATTAAGAGAGTATTTTAGGAGACACCATTTCTCCTTTCCTCTTACCCTTTCTTAACCCCTGGCTTTTCTTCTCACTCTCCAAGGACTGGAGGTCTTCATACTTCATTGACATCCTTGGACCAACTCTGAGGCTGTCAGAGCTAAAATGGAGGCAGGTCCAGTGATCAGGCTGGGGCTGGAAATAGGAGACAGGGAAGGCTTGGACTATGTTGGAGCTGAAGTCAGGGCTGGAATTGAGGTAAGAGAAGAATTTCAGGTTGAGGATGAACCAGGGTTAGGGATATGAATGGGAATGGGGCTGGGTTTGCAGCAGAGGTTGGAAATAAGATCAGGATTGGTTTTTGGGCTGGGGTTGGGTTGAATGTGAGATTGAAGGTAAAGGTAGAGTTGGAGCTAAAGGTATTACTAGGACTGGGTCTTACATTGGGGATGCAAGTAAGGTTGTGTCTCCTCCTAGGACTGGGGTCAATACTGATGGTGATGCCATGAATGGAGTGGGGCCTAAGTTTGGTGTTGATGTTGGAAATTGAAGAGAGTTGGGTTGGTGCTGGTGTTTGTAATGGGGTTAGGGCTGCATTTAGGCTGGAGGCTGAAGATGTGGCTGGAACTGTGCTAGAGATGGGGCAACGCAAATCCAGTTACGTGAATAGAGTCTGAAATCTCCACCAGCTCATTGAATCTCCAAGCTGCCCTTTTATATCTCTTCCTATTCAGTCCCAGTTGAGACTCACAGCCCCCTCTCCCTGCTTTCTCTAACTCCCTCCCTTCCCCCAGGTCTCACCTGCATCCCCAGCCCAGTTACCTGTGCAAAGTCTGGAGGCTGTGATTCTTGGGTTTGCAGTGCAGCAATGAGCAGAGTTGGATAAAATGAAATCCTGGAGAGTGGGGTAGAGGTGAGCGAGGGAGGAGTCAGGTCAGTGGCTAGAGTCCTGCTGGGCTCTCTGTCTAAAAGCCCAGGATTCTGTAACCTGGGATCTCCCTTTTCCTCAACTTTGGCAGTAAATGATAGTTGGAACCCAGGCAGAGACTGTGCAAGTGAAGAAGCTATATATAGGGCCAGCATTGCTCCCTCTTCACATACCGCACCCCTCCCCTTCCACACCACCACCCCATCTGCCTCCCGGGTGTGTCCTTTTCAGCTTCTGTTGAGCTCCCTTGACTTCCTCATTGTTGCCATTGTGGAGAGGAAGCCTTCCCAGAGGAGTCCATAGGTACAGTCTCTTGCTTCTTCTTTGCCCCACACCCCATTTTACTTCCTCCATCAGCATTTCCCAGAGATGATGCTGTCTCCACCATTGCACACCCAGATCCAGAGGAGCCTTTTCTCAGTTCTTCCTCAATCGTAACCCAAGTGTCTAGAACAGGAATGGGCAACTTTTTTTGAGTGCGTGCCAAAACCAGCAAAATCTCT